TACCCACAAAACACACCAGACTTAACTGGGGGCCCCCGAGTTGTACTTTTTGTGACCTCGCTATCTTGTCTATATTTGTTTTTTTTTTTTTTCTGTCTGCATTTAAAATTAAACTAAGCAAAACTGACTATTAAGGGATGAAAAAAAATCGTTGATTTTGACGTCATTCGGGTTTTTTTTTCTTTTAATTCCGTTGTTTTTTTTCTTTTAATTCCGTTGTTTTTTTTTTTGTTGTTCATGCTAACTCTCGAAAAAATACTACATAGAATTCATTAGTTTTTTTTTATCCATAATGCTGAATGTATCAAAATTCCTCAACTTTTAAGAAGAAAAATCTCAAGTTGATGTTAACAACTGCCGAAAAACATTGTTGATTTATTTAAAATGGAGTGAACTATTCAGGCATGTTACTAATTTGTAGTTAGATACATTGTATTTATTTTCAATTTTTCTAGTTGAATTGTTAACATATATTGCACATAATGCATTATTGTACATAATTAGGTTACAATCAAATATGTATTTTATATGAAAAATTCCTTATGAAAATTGAGATACAGTAGAGTGCCTCCCTCGGATCATATATTTGTGATGAGAGGCACAAGACCCTTTCATCGATACACACACACACACACATATATATATATATATTTGTGTGTGTATATATATGGTATTACTTATATTGATAATTATCATATATACGTATGTAATATATACACACACACACGCACACACACACACACACATATATATATAGTCCCTTTCATCGGCACACACACACACACATATATATGTGTGTATATATATATGGTATGACTTATATTGATAATTATCATATATACGTATGTAATATATATATATATATATATATATATATATATATATATAAAATACGTATAAATTCAGATATATTGTATCCCTATATAGAAACAGCCACACGTAAGATGTACAGGTGTGCGTGTGGGTGTGTATAGAGATTTAATATTATAATTATTTAATTTGTTATATCTTAGCGAATAGACACATAAAAGCATTAACATAATGGTATACACATCGATGTTTCCGTTGATTATGTAAGTTTATCACAGGCTTAAGAAAAAATAAATGCACATAGAGATATATTTGTAAAGTGTTGGGGCTTTGAACGCATGTGCATTCAACCAAGCAAAAGCACATGCACACACACAGAGTCACAACTCATACAGTCACACAGGCATCCTATATATATATATATATATATATATATATATATATATATATATATATATATATATATATATATATATATATATATAAGGATACATACATAATTTATACTATATATATAGGCATTTATGTATATATATGCATGTATATAAGATTATGTGCTGAAAAATTCTTGGCTTAATACACTTCCCAATATAGGACCAGATGATTAACGAAAATAAATATTTTTTGGAAGGGATTATTATTTGGGCCGCGAAGTTATATCGCTCTCTATATGTATAGATAGATAGATAGATAGATAGATAGATATGTATGTATGTGTGCGTCTATATGTGAGTTTGTGTGCATAGATAGGCTAGCATATGAATTTATGTATATTATATATATATATATATATATATATATATATATATATATTATGAAATGGACAAAGTACGACAATTATTTTTAAGAATGTATAGACATAAAAATGTCTTAAATATAAATATAAATATATATATATGTACATAAATATATATATATATATATGTATATATATATATATATATATATATATATATATATATATATATATATATATATATGCATGCCCAAGCAAACATGCAGGATCACACATATAGACATGTACACTCACACACAGATACACAGATAGATAGATAGATAGATAGATAGATAGATAGATAGATAGATAGATTCATGCATATATACATCTTTACACAAGCCCACATATATTCATAATGTGTCACTGGAGAAAGCCGATAATAGACTAACTGTATTAAAACGGACGAAAGCACTGACCTCGTTAATAAGCTATGTTTACGACAATATGTGTAATCACGGAATTCAAAATCAGACAGAGACACACACGATTTTTATATATATATATTTATATATATATATATATATATATATATATATAGATAGATAGATAGATAGATAGATAGATAGATAGATAGATATAATTTTATATATATGTGTGCGTGTGTCCGGGAATAATTAATTTCTAGGCAACAGTCATTCATGTGTAGATGTTTACTTGAATATCAAGGTTTTATTCAGTTTGTCCAGAGAAAATTTTAAATGTAATAGAACAAATGAAATAAAAATTTTAATATATATATATATATATATATATATATATATATATATATATATATATATATATATATAAATATATATATATATATATATATATATATATATATATATATATATATATATATATATATATATATATATATATTACTTGTTTATGTTGAAATAAGTAGAAGTTTGTATAACTATAAACCTGAAAGTTGAAACATTTTTTCAATTATTCTTATAACAAGTACCCCATTATATTTGTTTCTTTCACGAATATCGTACGGTAAGAATGAATGGAAGAAAACATTATAATAACGATTTTATCGTGGACAGCATTTCACCTCACATGAAAAACTACATCGACGTTTATTTACGTTAAACAATAAAAATACAATCATTTACTCTCGATTACCAGTATATAACAAAACACACAATTAAGTATTACAGAAAATAAGGCCTTCATGTTTATATATATATATATATAAATATATATATATATGTGTGTGTGTGTGTGTGTGTGTGTGTGTTTGTGTGATAGAATAAAAGAAAACTCAGATTAATACTTACCTTGTTTGGTAAATGTCAATCAGTCGATGTTTGCCTTTTATATGTTTCGTATTCCTGCCGTAACATGGACATCCTATGATTTTTCCAAACAGTAAATAAATCTCTTCACGGAATATATGCGTACAGAATTGCGAGCGAAGAGAACACTTCATCAGATGTGTGTCCGCTGGTATTCACAGTCCAAAAAAAAAAAAAAAAAAAAGATACGGCTACATCTATATATACAAATACAAAACGCATGCACACACTCAGTCACACATCACTATCGCAAACGCACACTCAGGTAGAAATATGCGCATATATCTATATATATCGTCTCGCATATTCATATTACACTGCGTGTATAGTTTAAATATATGATATTTATTGAGTTTTAAAATCCTGCGAAGTAAAAAAAAAAAAAAATTAAAAAAAAGAAAGAAAGAAAAAAAAGTAGACAAATTGAAAAATCCGTGATTTATTACGCCGGTTTCCGACCGATATTGTTCCGTGATTGAAAAGTGCATCTGCTGACGCAAGAAGATGAAGCTATATATTTAAATCCTGACATCTGCACCTACAAATGTGTAAATATATATATATATATATATATATCTGTGTTTGGATGCGGTCGTGAGCACGTGTGTCTCAAAGTTAATATGAATAAAGAACTAAAGACGGGGAATTTTGCGAGTTTTCTTGTTGTTGTTTTTTTTTCTTGTACTAACGGTTATAGTTGCTTTGCTTTATGAGTTTTAAAATAAAAGGCCCAGTATCACGCAGATGCGCTCTAGGTGTCTATATTTTCAAAAAAGCAATATGTAAAAAGCAAGTATTTTTTCTTTCCAAATATTAAAAGTGTTAAATTTTTAGTTCTGTGATCGTAGAAGCGAAAGTTTCGACTGGATTACTTGATCATGGTATGGTAGAGTTTTTTGAATATGTAATCACATTGATAATCCTGCAAAATAAAACTTAAAAATAGATTACGCATCAGGACTGGATTAACGGACCCCTTTTTAATCCAAGCGAACGTACGTGATTAAAGAATCCCATCGACTTTTTACTGAAAATGTTTAATATCAGCTGGTGCTGCCGTAGCCATTGCCAAATCAGTAGTAGCAGCAGTAGTTGTGTTATTGATATATATAAATATATATATATATATATATATATATATATATATGTGTGTGTGTGTGTGTGTGTTTGTATATATATGTATATATATATATATAATTATGTATATATATTTGTGTATGCGTGCGTGTATGTATGTATGTATGTATGTATGTATGTATGTATGTATGTATCTATCTATCTATCTATCTATATATATATATATATATATATTTATGTTTACTTTTATTGCTTTTAATGCTTTGTGGGTAGTCAGTTGATTCTGACTGCTTTACTGTAAAGATATGGTGTTAAAAAGAAATTTAAATAATGAAAAATTCAAAACAGGTAAGAAAGTAACCAATAGTCGTATATGACTGACTCTGAGCTGACATCGTGTTCATACACCTTCTTTTAGCGTTATACGTGTCTGTATGTGTACGCACGTGTGTGTGTACGCTTGAATATAACATGTTTTGAAAAGAAAAATGTTGAGAAAGACTTAGAAAACTAAAATACTAAATACGAAATAAAATGGTCAGATATAGAATAAAAAGAAAAAGTTTTTTTGTTTTTTTTCTCTTAGTAAATGTTGACTTTATTTTTTTGTTTTTTCTTTTTCTTTTGTTAAATCCGACTTTTTTTATCTTTTTTTTGCTTTCCTCGTAAATTTTTGCAGCTTGCTTACTAAAGAAACATCCTCTGTGGATGATGGTAAACTTCTTCCTGGTGTCGTTTATTTATGAAGTCATCTCTGTCAATCCGATGTACTGCGAATAGTTGTTGCATCTCCTTCCATTTAAACTTACTATAAAAGACAGATCCATAGGCAGCATGGCACTTCCAACAGAGAGGAACGGACTAAGAGAGAGAGAGAGAAAGAGAGAGAGAGAGAGAGAGAAAGAGAGAGAGAGAGAAAAGGAGAGACGGAGACAGAAAGACAGAAACAGAGAGAAGAGCGAGAAAGAGAGACAAAGTGATTCAGAGAGAAGTTGGGAAAAACAGATGAGAATGTTGCATATCGAATTTACAGGCCTATTTTAACCCATATGTTGTTTATTGTAGTCGTTTTAGTTTTAGCTTTGCTGTCTTTGAGTCAGCGCGCCTCTCTCTCGCTATATTCTCCCTGAAAGCTTCACTCTTTCTCTATCTTTTCTACTCTCTCTATCTGTTTGTTTCTATCTATGCATTTCACCGTGTTTCTCTCTGCCTTCTTTCTCTTCCTTTGTCGCACACTTTATCACTTGTATTAGATCTCTTCACCTCTCTCCATCTCTTTACTTTTCTTTCTCTTTAGGCCGATTTCAGTGTCCCTTGAAATATTCATTCTTTCATTCTCATTCTATCTATCTGGGCCAATTTGAACGTCTGTAGTTTGTTACTCTCTCTCTCTCTCTCTATCTATCTATCTATCTATCTATCTATCTATCTATCTATCTATCTATCTATCTATCTATCTGTCTCTGCCTCTTTTGATTTTACTTGTCACTTTTGTTCTCTACTCCCCTTCTACTCAACGTATTTGTCTGTCTCTCTGTGTGTTTTGCTCTTTCTATTTTCTCTTCTCTTTGGGATGTCCCTTCATTTCTTCCCTTCTCTTTCATTCACTTTCATTTCCTTTCTCTTTCCATTACGCTTTCGTCCATTCTTTCGTTCTTTATTTTTTTTTCGTCACTCACTCTTTCTTTAACGTCGTTTCTACATCTACTTCCCGCGTATTTTCCTTTATTTTTCTCTCGCTCCCTTTCTCCCTATCAATCTATGTCATGTTTTAAAATCTTTTTCCCGCGCGCATTTAAAGCCGATATATATATATATTATTTAAAAATATAATCATATAAAATTATCTAATCTTTATCTATAAGATATGACATAGTTTATATAACAATAACTTAATTTCTAATATGTCCACATGGACATGCTCCAAAGATCCTGTTTTCAAATAAATAGGAATATATATATATATATGTATGTATGTATATATATATATATATATATATATATATATATATATATATATATTATTTTAGGATACATCCATCAAATTAGACTTTTTCCCGTGTCCGGATTATGAATAAACTTGTGCTACGAAAGGGCGTGAGGCAGTATGTCTGCCCGAGAACGCATTACGAAGTCAATACATAAACTGAGTCGCTGTTTTTGTTTGTTTACAATGATGTTCACATTGTACAAGGCCCGAGGGTCAATCGAGGTAGAGGGCATCAAAGTAAGACGCACAATTTATGGATATATGCGTCGAAGATAACGGTTAACCCGATACTTGAAAAGTAGTGATTGGGGAAGCAATGTCTTGTGAGACGCTTCCACAAGTCAGTGGTTCGTGGGAAGAAGCTTCCCGAGTGGAACTTGCATCCCACCAAATGAATATGAGTGGAATGGCGGTGGTTCGCTACAATGTGCGTGGCATAGCGGGTCTTAGCCGTGAAGGCTAGGACTGGCGAAACTAAGGAATGTCGTTCGTCTGAACGCTCTCCATAGAAATAGCAACAGAACACCGAGAGACTTGCGATATCTCATCTGTAAGAAAGGAGTTTTGGGGTGGGATATAATTCATCGCCTACAAGGACGCGGAAACGCTTTTATGTGTAACAGTCTGAAAAAGTGGAGATTGGGTATCTCCTGCCCATATATGGGAGCAGTAAAATATTTTCGGTCTGATCTGGCTCTTGTAAAGTTAACACAAAGCAGGAGTCAGATTTTACAAGTATTAGATTGTTCGATAAAAAACCTCTGCCCTCGCGTTCTGGTCTTCTTTTATGTATTTTTTTCTCAAGCCTCTAAAATACATTACCGTAAATTGTACCGTACAAAGTCAATTTTTCAAGCCTAAAAAAATCTTTTCAAAAAATGGGTCAACTTATATGGCGAGCATAAAATGCAAACTTTTACCACTGAGTTGCAAACAAATGAGACGCCACTCCTAACAATAACGCAATAACAAGATTATACTACTACCAACAACTGCCTGGTATGACGTGTAATCTACAGTATTAATAATTTATAGGAGTTGATATTGACTTTAATGTGTTTATCAGTAGACTTGACGAATTTTAAATGTTCACTAAGGTATACCGATACAATATACAGTACTTACCGGTGGGTATTGTAGGTTGTTTCCTATATAGCGTGTCTGGAAAGATGTTACGGTTAGTGCCTCAATATACAGATAAGAGGTGTAAGCGTATGCAGTATTAGAACAAGTTATCGTATACTGTAGCCTAACTTCTTTTCCTGGTAGACCTAAGTTTTTGGTCACTGTTAGCCTACCGTATGTTTGGAGGTCGGTAAGCCTAACTCAGAATTTTGAGTTAAAAATCTTGTACACCAGATCAACCTGCACACCGTAATTTACGGTATATTCCTATTTAGAGAATAGGTCGGACATGTAACTAATTAGTTTAGCCCATCTTTAATGAAAGTTTGCGATTCTGAAATAAAGCAGCTCTTTGCAATGAAAGTACTCCCCTGAGAATAAAACCATTTCTTATGTCACTTAGTCTAATAAAAAGTAATAGGCATTATTAGCTTGACATCGGATTAGAATTGAATCTTTTTTTTTTTAACTATATGATCAAGAGTCACTCAGTGCAGAGGATTACAAATTGACGGTGTTGTATGGACGTAGTAGGGGAAGATGGAAGTAAGTACAGTTTATAAAGATACCTATGATATCTAACGATTCAACAAACATGATATTAAGCGTGCAGTGTTCAGGGAAGTATCCTCACGAGAACCTGTTCCATGACGTTCTGGGGAACGAGCTCTTAATTTTTGTTCTCCCTCAGTCCACCCTGAGCCGGGGTGATAACACCTGTTACGGTCCCAGCTATGGGCAAAGAGTTAAATCCCAAACTGGGGTCAGAAGCACTATGAAAGTATAAAGAAAAAGTATAGTAAAAAAAATACCGCCAACACATTTGTATAGTAAAAAAAATACCAGAAGTACATTTTTGTAAAAGAAATTTACTAATACTCACAAAAAACAAAAACAAAAAACAAACAAAAAGCAAAAAAGAAACAAAAGTCTAGCATTAAATGACCCATGAGGAGTTATGTCGCTAAACAGACAAACAAACGAACAAAAAACAAACGAACAAAATCTCTTCCATAAAGTAGCGGCTCTTGGAAAGATGTCCGATTGGAACTTCATTTTTACCAGCAGAATAGCTCACCTTTGTGTATACAGAATGGCGGGCAAAGGCTGTAAAGGTCTGAACTAGTGGAACTAGGAAATAACGCTCGTTAGAACATTTTCGTTAGAACATTTTCGTTAGAAATACTGGGTGTAACATTAAATTTGTCCAAATAGTGTAACTGTATGGGATAATTGACCATCCACCAAAATATTTGATATCTTGAAAAAAAAAAACACTAAACTAATTGTGCTTTTTCCAGGTTTTCAGATGAAACGTTTAGCCATCTTGATATCATTTGTCGTAAGAATCAATGAAAAACCTTTTAAGTTATTCAGCTAGAAAAAGAAAACGTGATAAAATCGTTTTGTGTCAGTCCCACTATATCTCCCCAAATGAGCAATGCTGAGACGAAAAAAAATCATTTAGGCCTCCAGTAAAGGTACCAATATTCATACTCTGGCTTCCATCTTCAAAATATATTCAAGAACCATCAAGAGAATGGTGAACAAGTTTAAAAAAAGAGGCAGCAGTAGAGAGGAAAACTGGATCAGGATGTCACAGAGGAAGAGGGATCATCATTTCAACTTATAGCTAAATACATGCTTATTGTACACAGCAGAGTCTAATAGAGTTATAAAAACTTCAGAGAATTCCAGTAAGATATGTTTAATCATTTCTAAGATACAAGGGTTCAAAGCATACTCTAACAATTGGACAATTTTGCATATACAAGATTTGGATAATTTTTCTGTCACACTAGGTAGCAAAAGAGTAGCTAATGACTTCCGATGTTGCGTCTGTGGGAGTGGGGTTGTAGAGCGGAAAATAATTCATCACCTACAAGTCCGCGTAAACACCTTTGAACTCTGTCAAGGCTGGAGAGCGAGTATTGGACAGTTCCAGCTCAGATGTTCTGTCGACTGAGCAATAGGCACTCGAACATACATCTATATGAAGTCCAACATATGTAAAACAAGTCTAAGTAATTGGGTGATCAGAATATCTCATTTAAGCAAGTCCGTATATGCGTTTAACGGCGTGAAAGCTGTTATTCTAGATATAACTAAAACTATGTCTGTAAAAGGACAATATGAATAAAAACAAAACTTAGAGAAAAATACATAAACCAGGTATCCAGATGAGACCCATTAAATCAGAAAAAAAAGTTAACATCGCACATAAACTGGCCGGCACACTTGCTTCTTGTCACCATTAGCTCCGCGCTTATAAAAATCTCTAGTGATCTTTTAAATCAATTAAAAAACATGGACATAAAAACAAATATGACTAGTTTTGATATAAAAAATACCGTAAAAAATGTCTAAATTTGCTAAAAACACATTTAACAAAAACAAAAAAAAATAAATAAAATTACCTCTTCCTACACATAAGATAGTAAAAATTTGATATTTAATCATTAATAAATGTTTTTTCACCTTCGATAAGAATTTTATAAACAAACATTTGCTTAACGATTGGTGTTCTATTAGTGGCGGTTTGGCTTGCCTAATTTTAGAATTTGTAGAAAGAATTCTTCTTGTTTTAGATGCATAGATAATTCTCTGTTAAAATATCCACATGACATAGTTTTACTTGATCTTGTCAATAAACTTAATAACGTTGAATCGACAATAGATTTTACCTTTGAATCTGAGACTAACAACACTTTAATCTTAACAGATATCATGCTGCGTAGAACTAATAATAACTTTCCTTTGGAAGCCTACAAAATGTCTCCCAACATGAACAGCCACTTTATTTCCTATTATCACTACTGTAAAAGGATACAATCTGAAATGATTATAGGATTCTCTTTTAGAGCACTAAGAATCTGCAGCCCCTAATACTTACCTGGTGAAGAAATATGCATAGAAAACACTTTCAAAACCTAATCGCCTCATTATTCCATCCACAATGTGAGAAGAAAGGCATACAAAACAAAAAACTGAAAAAAATATAACATCATTAACAACAATAACAAGCACAATAAACTAAATAAAAACAGATACCTACTAAATCGTTAACATCTAATATCCAAAACAATTTATACAATCTTAACAATATCAAAATAATTGCAACCACATCCAAAAATACCAGGGATATGATCAGAACCCAAAATAATAATTTTGAAGCAATTATATATAAAATAAACAGTCATATTTGTTCCTTACAATACATTCAGAAATTTTAAAAAAAAGTTATCGATGAAAACAAAACGATCTTATTCACAACAATTTTTCAAATAGATTAGCCATATATAGAAATAAATTGAACCACAACTAAATATTGTTCTATCTAAAGAATGTCACACTGATTGAAAATCATTTCTTGGGAATGCCGCTATCAAGTCTTACCTAAATATAAAACTGCATTCAGATTTTTCCAAATATCTCCGTTTCTGAAAGAAATACTCTTGTCCCAAGCCAACATAACTGACTATAAAAATGTTAAAAAATCAAAAAAAAAAACAAAAAAAACGGTTAAATTACAAAATTATTTAAAATATAAAATACATAAATTAATCCTAATCTAAAATAATATAAATATTAATTACAATGTAAAATACATTAACATTCACTAACTTTTGTTTATTAGACAGTAAATTACACCAGTTTGGA